TGATGCTCGTTGACACAGCCTGCTTGTGCAGGCCTCTCAACGAAGAGTCATGACGTGCCAGCAAGCATTTCTCGTACCGCATCTCAGACAGCCAATCTCGAGACCTTTTTTGCTCCAATTGCCCAACATTTGTTTCACTCTCTATCTCACTTGCTTGTTCTTTTCAACTTTACAGGACTCTATCTCACCCATGCATGCACATTCAAGTGCATTTTCAAGAGTCTCCTGCCCCAGTTTTCTCTGTCGCTGCTGGCGGAGTGTAGCGTGCAGTGTTTTCCATGCAGTTCTTTGTTTCACCCTGTTCGGGGCATTGCAGGATTCACCAAAGTGACCACAAGTGACCACCTCGATGAACGAACTCGGATACGATTGGAGCGGCCACCTTGCACCCTCGTGTGACCTCTCCTTGCAAAGCTGTTTGAGATGCACTGCCGCAAGGTTGCCCTTGCTTCGCTCCGCCTCCCTCCTCCCAGTGGAGGGGGGGCAGCAATAGATGAACATGATTGCACATGCAGTGCACCCTTGTGGTCTTTGCTGACAACTGGTCCACCCCAAAATGAATTCCAGTGCAAGACACCACTCATGAAAGGTCTGGCAATGAAATGCCCTTTCGTTTAGCACGCTAGGGCAGTCTCCCGCAGTGGTTTTCCAATGACCGTCCTCCTAAACTGCACACATGCCTGCTGGTGATTGCTTGCCTGTCGGAATGCCGCCACCTCTCCAAGCCATTGTTTCGTGAACAGAAAATGCATGGCCTGAGCACAGCCATGTTGCCGAGTGCACAAGACACAGTGCACAAGTGCACTCACCTGCACACAACACTTGTCGCACTCCCGAACTTTCGCACTGAGAGGCCTTTTTGCTTGATTCTGTGCCCCCAGTGGGTTTCACCACCGGAGTCTCCATTGTCGGCCACACATGGCGGCTCCACTCGTGCAAAAAAAACAATCAGGTGCTGATCCTCATTCGTCCTCAACAACCGCAATCTCGCCATTGCCTGATGTGGGTTGTCATCAGGATTGATGTCTCACAGGCATGAATGTGCAGCTGGAAAATCATCGTGTTGCCGGCAGCGTACTGTCGTCCTGTCTGGAGCCTGAACTTTCACATTTTTCAGAAAATGCCTGAGGCTTGCGGGTTTTTTGGGTTTGCGCCTGCATTCTTGCCTTTCCTTGAGAGAAGTCAATCTCTGTGACTTCAATGTTTGTTTGAGGGATCCGTTTTCTTTTCTTGTTTGGTTTTGGCGTGCGTGGTTGATTTGAACTTGGCGTGCTTTGTTCAGTTTGCGGTGGACGTCGAGCTTGAAAGCTCAGTTGATGTCGGATCCACCAATCCTCTTTGACGGTCGAGGTTGGAAAGGTCAGAGAAGGCGAGGCCTGAAAACCCAGACTTTTCCAGATTACCAGCACCACTGCCAGCACAACCAACGCAGTCATGAAACATGGCCAGATGGGCTGGCAAAGTCTCAAGCAGAAGTGGACCGGACACGACCCAAAGGTGAGATGAATTTTTTTGAGTCTCTGAAAACAAAAAAGGCCCTTGAAATGGATTCTCCTCTGGTTTGGACTTCATGTTGCATGTTCGTCTGTGGTCTGTTTTGGTGACTTGCAGACCGAACATCTGCAAGATGAATCTTTTTGGGCAACAAAAACACAACCAAATTCAAGCAGACTGCAGTTTATCCTTTTTGCCGGCTCTTGATCGCAGGATGTCACGCTGGCGAGGTGGGACCACGACAGCAGGAGGCAAACCTTTTGCAGATCTCCTTGACATAGGAAGTGATGCTTGTGAGCGGTTTTGCTCTGAATGGCGAAAATTCGACGGTGCTTTGACGTTCTTTTGCCTGAAGGCGCTTTGTGCTATTTGCAAGCTCATTGGCCCAAATGGCAGCTGCGTTTTCACAAATTGCATTGAACAGCCTCAACACCTCCACACACCTGGACACCGTTTCTGCTCAGCAGAATCTGTGCGCCTCGGCAACTCGCCATGGTTGAGTCTCGTTGGGTATCAAACAACTACGAGGTGGGGTGTGTTGGTGAAGGAAAGATGGACAAATCACAGGATTCGATTGGTGGACTCTGGTGAAACTCTCGGATGTTTGGTGCAATTGGGGAGGAACTGATACCTTTCTTTGGGGTTTTGAACAAAGGTTTGGTGACTCTGAAGGACGTCTAGACGTTCAGATTGGTGGATTTTGTCGGTGCGGCCTATCTCATGTGATCCTTGGGAACGTTGTCACCAGCTGGAGTGATTAGCCACATGGAGATGGACTGCCCAGCCGGTTTGCCATCCTTCAATCTTGGTTTTCTTTTGAAACGTTTGTGTGAGAATGTGGTGCATTCTTAGTTGCTTGAAACTTTTGGAACGGGTGATCATGTGGAGGGGGCCTGGTCAAACGAACGCATTTTTCCTACGGTGTGTTTGAAAGCAGACACGCTGAAGTGCAACATGAAGAAAACATTCGTTCATGATGGTGTGTGTCGTATTTGGCCCACCTTTTTGTCTTTCATGTTGGCTCATCGTCCTGGCTTCTCATCGACTTTCCAGGAAACCAACCAACTACAAAGCTCTGCCCAATAGTTGACTGGTGCTCCAAGTGCTTTTCTCATTGGGTTCTAACTAGAGCCGCGTGGCGGCAGTTTGACAAAAAAGCACCCATCGGAAGAGGTTGTACATCCAAACATTGGCTGTGACTAGAACCAAACCGATGGACAGCCCGAGTGTTTGGGGTACGGTACGGTACAGTAGTAAAAATACAAGACCTTGATCGTCTTCTGACCTTGGTTGTGCCAGATACTAGTGCTAAAAGCGCTGGGTTCGAAGATCGAAATAATACTGTACTTGGAATTTTTGGAGCTGGTGCCCCCCAATTGGATTGCGACTTTCAAGCCGTGACAGACAGTCAGCTGTTTTGGTGATGTAGTCGGATTTATTGTGGATACTAAAATCAGTGTCTTTCGTGCAGGTGTCCTGAACTTCAGTACACCGGAGCAGCAACTCGGTGTGGTTGATGGGATCGGGACACACATGGAAGGCCACAGGGTGCTCAAACCAACCTCAACCAAGACGTTGTTAATGTCTGGGCCGGTTGCTATTTTTGGTCTTTTGAGATTTCGGGGGGCCAGGTCCTCATGCGGTCCTTGTAGTGGATGGACCCGGACATGAGCACATTTTATGGGTGTCACATTGATTGAGATGAGCGGCCCAAACTCCAATTCATTACATTGCTGACTTCTCTTTGTGCGGGATCTACCAATCTGTTCAGTCAATACCCTGGCTTCAGTGGATCCCAAGAACATACACAGTATGGGATACCAAGCTGCTACTGTATTAGACACTTTCTTGATAGGTTTCAAGTGACAACTTGGCAAGCTGACCGGGCCGGGATCCGCAGGTGTCCCCCCTTGCTCGTTGTGCTTTGTGTCTCTAAGGCGAAAAGGAGACGCACAATGTCTCGAGAATGCTGAGTCAAGGGACTGCAATTTGTTCCACGTTTTGTTGGTGGCGAAGTTTCCTCGACTCTGTGGGCCTTGTCAAGTTGACTCTACTTAGAGTTTGGACTCTTGAATAGAGACAATCGCCTTTTCTGTGTATAAACTGCGATCCTTAAGATGACCCAGTAGAAGGCAGATGAAGAGCTCACACCATTACCCTCAACTTAAAGAACCGGATAATCCCACATGACAAGCTTTCAGAAAGCGGTAACCAAGAAAAGACGAGCGAGTGGAGATCACGGCAACAGTTCTTGGGGAGAGATGAAACCCTCCCGCACTCACAAGTGGCGTGGGAGGGTTAAGATTTGATATGTCGGAAGACCCTATCGTGTCATCTGCGGAGATTATTCCCCCGTGAGCATTCCGCCATGCTCGATTTAACAACGCATGCTGAAGTAAGTATGTGAGTGAGTGGTGCGGAGCAGCAAAGCGCAGGGACCCCAGGAACAGCAGACCCCGCCCCCTAGAGAGCAGCAAAACGCAATGGAAGAGAGTTGGTGTGTGTCAGTTGGTGTGAGCGAGATTGGTGTGTGTAAGCTGGTGTGAGTGAGTGAGTGAGGTGAGGTGAGGTGAGGTGAGGTGAGGTGAGGTGAGGTGAGG